AGCGGGTTGAGAGAGAGTCCACAGAGAAGAGACGGGTCCCTCCCATCTCTTGCACAGTTCTCTGGCTGAGTGCTCACTTGGCACGGGGAAATACCGCAAATGGAGCATCTGGGGCAAACGGCTGGTCAGGCTGAGGTCTCCGAGGGGGTGTGCTGGATAGCGATGCTGCCACAGTCCAGCAGCCAAGTGCTGCTTTACCTGAAAATGGGTGAGTTTGGTCACAGAAGAATGAAAAAGTGTTTGATTTGCTTGCCTTTAGGAAAGGCTTTGTAAACTCAATACAAATATCTTTCAAAACCTCTGGATTTGCCACAAAACAGAATTTTTCATGCTCAGATCAAATCTGTCATCTTTTCCAGCAGAGAGCTCAGGGCAGACCTTCAGTAACTGAATGGTTACATTTCCATATTTTGGTCTTGGGGGTTTTGGAGATAGTCAGAAAAATTAAATCTCCTGTTTTGTTACAATTTTTGATAATTTAAAGTTTGCCCAACTTTGTCCTTAAACTGTACTTTTTTTTTTCCCCTTCTAAGAGTGATGACTCTGAAGATGATGAACCTTGCGCAATCAGTAACAAATGGGCTTATGAGAGGTGCCGTCAGAGGTGGTCTCGTATTGAGAGCCTGGAAGGTTTCCCAGGAGAGGAAGGTGCTAGTGCATCGGTCCCAGGCAGTCCAGTACTGAAGAGCATCAGTAACGAGGCTGCTATCGTTCTGGATCATGGCGAGAAACATGATGTGTCCTCAATTCACAGTACTAGCAGTGGTGACAGCGACATTGTTAGCTTCCCAAAACCTTTCGAAGATGTAGAAACCAGCACAAGTTCCTCAAGATGTTCCTCAATTAAGGTGGCTTCACTAGACTCTACCTATAGTTGTTCTTCTGCCCCCAGTGAATTTTTAAATATCACCAGTGAGGAGAAGCTTTTGGATAAATCACCATGTAAAAAGAGGAAGAGCCTTCTAAAGAAAATTGAGAAGTTGCACTTAAGGAGCTGCAACTTAAGGAGTGGTCAGTCAAAGGCCAAGCCCATCATAAGTGAACCTGTCCTTCTGGAAGGACTTAATGAAGAAAAGATGAAGATGCTGAACTGTGTAAATATTTCTGACCTCTCTGGCATCCAAACAAAGAACAATTCTTCCCTTTTTCCCCAGAATTGCAATAGCAGCAATCAGTCTGAAAATTGCAGCACAGTGAGCACTCCAAGCCCTGTTATAAAACCACAAAGCCACTATGAAGAAAGGGGGGTGTATGTAGAGCACTTGGATTCTAGCAAACTCTTGCTGTGGAATGATCTATCTCAGCTAAATCTAAAAAATGATGTGAAGTTACGAACGAACCAGATGATGTTTCAAATACCACAAGGCCATAAACCTGGCACTTTCCCCAAAGTGCTTACAAACAGTTCATCTCCTGTAGACAACTCTTCCATCAACTGGAGAACTGGGAGTTTTCATGGGTGCAGGAGGAGCTGGAGCAGAAGCAGTTCCAAGGACTCCAAAGCGCCCAGGAGCCCCCTTTCATGCACGGATAACAGGCTAAGTGTGTATGACAACATGCCCAATATTGAACTTGATAAGTTGGAGGCAATAGAAGTTGGTGATGATGACGTTTTTTCAGAACTGAACGATGTTATAGAAGATGTCAACGGTCTCAAAAAATTGGTTGATCAGTGGACAGAGAAGTTCTTAGATGATGGAGATTTAGACTTTGCCAGTGACTTGACCCCTTTATATCCATCCTCACCTAAAGAAATCTGTCTTGAAACAGAGGAGTCAGAAGAGAAGAGAGCAGACCTCCCAGCCACTGAGGGAGAGAGCAGCTGTGAAATGGACAAGGAGATCAGTTCTGCAGAGCTGGCATGCATGACAGATTGTCAAAAGACCAACAGGTCAGCCACCTTTGGGTTTCCCTAGTAGACTGTCCCTTGGGAACCTTTCTCCGCTGATTCTCTCCACCCAAAATGTAATTGCTTTTCCAGAACAAAGAGTTCTTAAGTAAGTCTGTTCTGGGTGGCAGGGTCTATGCTGCTGGTGCCAAGTACTGCTAGTCTGTAGACACTCTGGTATTTACATCTGCTCTGACCTCTGTTGAAAGTAGGGTGTCCATAATCTGCAGGAGCACCTAGTGAAACATTGGAATCAGCCTTCCTGGCTAGCTTGCTGTGTTTCTTAATGAAACATTTCGTATTGCTAGAGTACCTCCTGGGGGAGAAGTGCCTTGCTTAAATGCGACTAACCATGAGAAGCTTGGGAGCTGCGGGTCAGTTAGCATCTTAGGTGCTTCGCAAATGCAGGCAGAAAACTAACAGGGACAATGGAAACAGTCCTAAGCTTAAACAATCTTTCTCCCGTAGGCATGGGAAGCAGCACTGGTCTATGGAAGAGAGTGTAAACTTGGAGAGCCTTTCCATCCAGACTGACAGCCAGTCCGCTGCCCGGACACAAAAGCTGGCTTTGCTGAAACTCACTGCTCTGATGGACAGATACTCCCCTTCCAGTAAGCAGGGCTGGAACTGGTAAGTTGTCTAATACTAAAGAAACCTGCGTTGGGAAGAGAGGATTCGCTGTGAGCAGGTGAATTTCCTCGTCTGCCGACATTACCCATGTCCAAGATGAGGAATTTCGTCCTGTTAAATCACTGACAGTTTTGTGGTTATTTTAATTGCTCCAGGGTTTCCTCTGCTCTGAGGTCCGCTTTTGCTCCTCACTGGTGCTCATGTTGTTACTAATTGTAAAACACATTGTAGGTTCTCTCCAAATTTGCCCGCCTGCAGGGCTTTGTCAGAGGTCCTTCACAGAGATTGCGGGACCTGCGGGGAAAGCTGGCTGGGCAGAGAATCCATCTCTTCAGCATCAAGTCCTTGTTTGAACCAAAACAGTGACAAAGTGAGTCACTCAGAGGACACAGAGATACCAGTGAGCATCTCGTGATAGGTATCACTTATTTCAATTTCTATACTTGAATATAGAAATAAGTGAAAAAAGCCTGCAGTGTCCTGAAGGGATGGAACATATTTCACATGAAGATGCTCTATTATAGCTCATTTCAATTTTGAAATGAGGAAGTCATTCCTGTAATTGCCTGTAATGGTTTTCTCTCTGTTTTATGATGCTACGTGTACAGGAATGTGGCAGAACTAAATCCTTTCTCATGCATGGAACTAAAGCAGAGGCAGAACTGTGCTGCAGAGCTAATGAGAGGCATGCACTGGTTTTTGTTTTCAGGACTATACCAAAGTTCATTAAAAAAATAAAAGCCTCTGACTACAAGGACAAAAATGTGTTTGGGGTTCCTTTGCTTCTGAATGTCCAGCGAACAAGCCGCCCGCTGCCCAACGGCATTCTGCAAGCACTGGACTATTTGAGAAGCCACTTTCTTGACCAGGTATGAACTTGAGGCAGCCCAGAGCAGTTCTGTTCCATAAACGGATCTGCTCCAGGGAACCAGTTTCTGCTTCCAGCTTTTGGGAGGGACTTTCTTGCTTCCTAAAGCTCTGAATGGGCAGAAAGGTGTAGGTCTGAGCAGGTGGCCTGTGAGGAAATATTGATGCTGTTTCCTTCTGGGAATACTTTTAGTCCTGTGTTGTGTTTTTTTGTGCCTTGCCACACCAAAGTCCTCTGCAGTCAATGCTCTTGGTGCAGGCGGTCAAGCTGTTGTCTCCCGGTGAGGCAGCCGATCTCTGCTCCCTTA